GACGAGGGTAGGCGCATCGATGCCACCATTCGCGCTGTCGGTGTCAGCGTCGCTCACGTGATTATTCGTGTCTGTTGTACTCACGGATCTAGCGGTACACAGATCTTCGCAGTGACCTGGCCCGTCATGCAGTCTGCGACCTTGATCATGCCATCTGTGCCTGCCGAGTAAAGCGACGTGCCATCGACGCTGTATCCCAGTGTCCGACAGCTTCCCTTGTGTCGCCGTGTGTCCCAGAGCTTGTCTATGGTGCCAAAGCCCTTTTCGGAAGCTATCGTCTCGTCATTCTCGTCGTCGCTTGCGCCCGAGGGTAGCCTGAAGGTCTGCACATGGCCGCTAGCCAAGCCAACCGATATGATAGGCTCCTCTGGGTGGATCGCCTGCACAAAGATATCGTGCTCCACCGGGAGCGCGCACAAGTTCTCGAACATCTTGGGCTTAAAGATGATGCGGGAGTTGGTTGAATGCATTTCGCGACAGCTACAACTGGAATTTTTGTGGAGCCGCGGCTCATGACTTGCAGGGCAGGTGCAGCCGGTGGCCTTGGCAGGTACACACGCACATGGCGGGCTTTCACCTTCCTGCGAGATTCCAACACCGCCTGCACTTGCGCAGTTCAATCACATTGAACTCCACTCGAACTTCTTCCTCCAACATGATCACCATGCTTCACAGATTCACTCAGAGCTGGTTTGAAAGAAAATGGGTAAACTTCCAACCACGTCGTTGAACACCACCAAGTTGCCTATCCTGATGCCTACAAAGTCTAGCATTCGGAGAGGCCCTTAACTCATTTCTTCCATCCAATCCAAAAGTAGGTGTACGGCACCATAAACCGGGTCTACGGACCACAATCGCGTCTCTTGCAGCATCGTGAACATCTTGAACAAATGTTCCCTTCCAATCACGGCCATGCCATACAACACGCCTTTTCTCCGCCGGCACTTTGATCTTCATTGCCCCATCATAACTAGTCCTTGGCCAACGACGCGACAGGAAGGTCAACATTTCTCGCCATGCGTTAAGCCTCGTCCGGCAATGCAGCCGAATCACGTTTATCAATGATTGGCTGTGAACATCATCAACATCTCCAACCATGTCCGCCGCCGTACAATCGGAGCAAAGACGTCCGACATCATGTACGTCTTAAAGAGAAGCCGGGAACCGTCGTTCATCCGAACAGCAGGCGTTTGGATCTATCTGCAGTTATTGTATACCTAATCTGCCAACATGCTTGCATCATCGCTTCTATACGGTCTTCTGACCGCCGCATCCACAGTCAGCGCATACCACCACGCAAAATCCATCAACTACACCGTCGTAACCGGTATCTTCCAACAAGACGAGCCCTCGACCGACCCCTCAACCTTCAACTTCCTCACCAGCAACTTCGGCCTAATCAACCGGACCTACCCCAGCGACTCATCCTGCCCAGACCGCAAGCACTCAACCCAATGGCAACGACTCGCCCACTACATTTCCACCCTAAACAAGAAGGCACCGCGCAATGAGCGCTACGCCCTCTTCTTCATGGGCCGCCACGGCGAAGGCTTCCACAACGCCGCAGAATCCTACTTCGGCACTCCGGCGTGGAACTGCTACTGGTCTGAACTCGACGGCAACGGCACCGTTACCTGGGCAGATGCACAGCTCACCATCGACGGCATCGAGCAAGCGAAAGTAGTAAACAAGTTCTGGAGCCACCTCATCAAAGACGAGAAGATCACCCCGCCTGAGACTTTTTACACCAGCCCCTTGTACCGCTGTCTCGATACCGCGAAGATCACTTTCGAAGGCGTTAAGCTGCCGAAAAAGAACCCCTTTGTGCCTGTGGTGAAGGAGTTCCTGCGTGAGGGTATCAGTGCGCATACATGTGATCGCCGCCACAGCAAGTCGTTTATCAAGAAGAACTTCCCTGGCTTCAAATTCGAAAAGGGTTTCGCAGAGGAAGACCCATACTGGACTGAGCTCTTCGCTGAGCCGCGCGCAAACCAAGATGCTCGTTCCAAAGCCGTACTCGACGATATTCTCAGCAATGACGATAGTACTTATATCTCCATCTCCTCGCATTCGGGTGAGATTGGAAGTTTGCTTCGTGGTATGTCACCGTTCCTTCAATGTCGTTCCGACATCTTTGTGCTAACGAAACCCCAGTTCTTGGCCATCGCGAATTCCGTCTTTCGACTGGCGCTGCCATACCCGTTTTGGTCAAGGCATCGACGCTCAATGCTCCTCCGCCTGCTACTACGACGCTGCCGTATACACCGCAGAAGACGTGCGCGGCGCCGCCTGCGATCCGCGACTCGAGCTGCAACGACTGCTCGTGCTGCACTTGAGCGCATTGTTTAGTTCCGGATGTAGACTGAAGTAGACATGAATTCCGATATTTACTCCACGATCTCAGCCACCAGATTCCAAGCTCTTGCATCCGTGTTCCAGACCTCCCTCTTTCCCAACATTAACCCAGTATCATCTCTTTTCCCTGCCGTGTCGATGTCTTGGCTTTCACGTCCTTATGAGTAATCATGCCCATTCGTGGAAACACGGAGAGAGTTAACGCTGTGAATCTCACTCACTACATGGCATATGCCGCCCGTCACCGGTGCCAACTCCGCCTGAACACGGGGTACATCTGCATAGTGCACCGTGTAGACATGTCACTCCCAAAGATGTCACTCGCTCATGTCTATCCCGATTTCCTAGCGTCCTCATGCACGATCAACTCCCTAACCCACTAACCTACCTGACCTCGTTCTCAACGGCTGGGCTACCCAGCCACCGAACTCTAAAACTCTATGCCCCCATCTCAGCCTTCGGCATGTCACAGACTCACAGATGATTAATCCTGCCCGATTGGTTGCCTGCTTCCCATCGACCCCGTCGGTGTTCGAGCTTCCCTGCGTACATCTAGTTCGCCATCCATCTAACTCGTCATCGCAGTTTCACTTGCCACTTGCCACCTTGGATACACTACCAACTTTCAGCACGCAGGCTACGCACTACCTAGGTACAGTAACACCCCTCTTCCCTGCACGCCTGCCCAACCCTCCTGAACATCACCTCACAGCACACCATCGGACCTTTTCATCTAGTCTAGCCGCGCCTCAGACGCTGACGATGATCTTAGCGATGATCTTAAAGAGCTAGGTGGGCTAGGTGAGCTAGGTCCCGCGTTGAGGCCAGACTGGCGGGTGGTACACTAGCAGTCATGATCGCTGCGAATCGGGCCTTCTTTTCGCGACCTTCGCGCTTTCGGACTTTCGGGGTCTAGGCAAGCTACTAGTAGTAGTAGTAGACTAGTAGTAGTTGTACTTCTTATTAGTAGCTTAGAGATATAGATATTAAAAATTATTCTCTAAAGTATAAGAAGCTTATTTAGCTTTTTTAGTTCTAAAATCTTTTAAGTTAAAACGCTTTTAAAACTTTTTAAGTACTTAGTATTTACTAACTTTAACTATATTATCTAAAATAGCTTTTTAAGCTTATTATAAAAAAAAGTTTTTAAAAAACTTAAATATAAAAAAAAGCTAAAGAGTATTTAGTAAAATTATATTAAATACCTACTAATTAAAGAAATTACGCTTTAAAAGTAGATATTTAGTAATATTCTTTTTAAGATTCTTCTTAGTAACGTAGGATAGTAAATTAGAGTTAGGAGGTAACTTTTAGAGTCTAGGCAAGCTACTAGTAGTGGTAGTAGTAATGTTGAGGGACTGTGATACATGATAGGTCAATCGAGACGGAACGGTAGGAACCGCCGTTCGTAAGTCTAGGTGATTACGAAGGGTAATTTTGTGGAGATTTTCTGTAGTGTAGAGAGACGGTTGTTAGAGGGGTGGTGCGACGGTCACCGGTCGGGTAGTGTTCGGCGGAGTGTTCTTTCAACTTTGGTTCCGATGGAGATAGACATATCCACATGTCCAGGTACAGATGGGGGAGTTGGTGGCGGAGGGAGGATGGGCAGTGAAGGGATGGATGGATAGGTGGTACATCATCACGAAGGTGATGCCGGTACATGGCGTGATGGTGAGACGACAGTGGCGGTCAGAAGAATGTCTGGCGGTGTCATACAATCATAGTGAGGAATGATGGCGCTGCATGTAAGCTTACTTCCCCTCCCCTGCCGAGGTGGTCTGAGGCTCTGCGGCAGTTGTGGACTTGGTAACAACAGACTTCGTTACTTCTTTCCAAAGTGCCAGGTGCGGAAGCTTAGTATTTCGAGACGAAAAAGCTAGTCTTGGGGTAGCGCATCGCGACGTCTTTTTCGACGTCATTACAATATCTAGATAGTCAACGTCAGGTAGACCACCCATGTCGCAAACAGATCTCGCAACGTGCGTTAAATATTCTCAGCGTTCCTTATTAAGTACATTACTAGTATATACAGGGGTATTTCAAAATGTCATGTCGCTCTTTCTCTTTGCTAATGTACAGGGATGGGGGTATACAAAGATAAAAGGCCGTGAGCCGTGATGCGGCAGTTGGTGTCGTCGCTTCCCTGCCGTGTGTATATACTCGAGTCAAGTATAATCCAGACGCGAGCCGCTGTGGGGCGGTGTGCTTCCAGACGAACCCAGAGAGTCAGACGGAACCTGGCTTCTTTTTTCTCGCAGTGCTCGGTAACTACGATTGCCGCGGTAGGTCGTTCGCATACTTTTTCCGGGTTCACGATGGGCTTTTTTTCGTGGTGGAGTGCGGCTGTGGGGTTTGCTTCTTCGCGCACGTTGGAGGACCGTGGTTGTGGGACCGGGGCGCTTGGATATATCTGGGTCGTTGATGATGGCGACTGTGATCACGACTGTGAGTGTGTGAACGCCTTCACCACCGCCGTTTGTACACGGCATTCGGTCATTTCCTTCACGGTACTCCGTTTCAGCTCGACCTGAAGCAAAGACGAGCTTGTCGACGCGGCAAATATCTCCTTCGCGACGCAAGCCACATCGCATGTATTCGTGATGACAAATGGAAAATGTTGAAAGTGGGTATATTGCTGAAACTCATCATCTGTAAGGCGCAGACAAAACCGATCCCCGCTCTTCATCCGTGATGTAAAATGACTTGGAGACCATGATGCCGTTTTGGAAGTGGTCCTCTTCCGCACTGCTCCGAGCGCTCTTGATCCTCAGACTCCTTTGACTGTCGTTGTCGGAGTTGTCCACGCGCGTACTCTTCTTCGAATTTGGTGGCGCTTTTCCGCCGTACCATTTATTCGAATTCGAAACAGGGTCGTCGTCGGAAGTGCGAGTCTGCACAGTGGCGGAGAGTTTGTACATGTCGGGACGGAGCTTGTCGGCTTTGGAGTTTCCAGCGGCGTTGCCGGGTAAGGGGGCGGACATGCCGTATGCAGACGGACGGTAGGCTCCAGTTGGGCGTGTAGAGAGACCGAGCTTGTGCATGGCGATGAAGAATAATGGGCGGAGCGTTGCAAGGCTACCGGCAGTGATAGCAAGACCTTGTTCGACCGATGACCAGATGGCGATGTCAAGTGTGGACCCTGACAGCATTAGTGCCCAGTACGACAAGCAGCAGTAGGGGAACTTACAGAGGAAGTCAGGAGAGTTGAAGTAGTGAACGAAAGGCATGCGCGCGATGACCGCAGCACTTGCAATGCAACCCATGGTGATCAACGGGATCAAAGCGACCTTGGTCCTCCTCTTCAACTGCAAGTGCCATACCAAGAATCCCGGAATGATGGCGAATGTAAAGTCGGTGATGATACTGAAGATACTGTAGACGTAGCCGAGAGCGGTGATGACGGTGTTGTCAACGCACTTTCCTTCTTGCGAAGTGCGGTCCCACATGTACGAGATTGGGTAGCATTGGAAGAGACAGACGAAGAAGAAAGTGCCTCCAGCAATGATCGAGACGCACATGGCACTGTAGATGATCCTGATGTTCTTAGCAAATGTAGGTATAGGTGCCATTCGCTCGATTGCTTACCATGTGTGTAGTTTTCGAATGCTAATCCGCAAGAGAAGGAATCCAATGGAAAGCTTCGAACAGATCATTGAGATGGAATAGAACAGATAACAAAAGTACCACGCATGCTTTGCGTTTTGGACACCCTCGATGGGAAGGTCACGGTGATGTTTTCCGGTTCCATAGTGTATGCCGATGCAAGACGATGTGGTGTATGAAATGAAGAAGAGCTGAGGACTTAGTCAGATCGGACCCAGTTATCGTATTAATATACACTTACAGTTGCGAGAACCATCAAATAGTCATCTCGGCCAAATGCCTTGACCATACAGAGGCGAACATATATCCTCAATGCACAAGCCAGGACTGCGGTGGTAACGAAGGCGATGTTGACTGCGAGCAGCTCGGGGCCTCTGTTGGGAATAGCCATTGTGGTGTGGTATATTGACGAAGCAGTGGACACTCATACAGCGAGGAGGAGCCCCAGAATGAGCACACCGTTCGGTCGGTAATGGGGGGCTCAGGATCTTTTACGCAGCTAGACACTTGACCGAATAAGCAGGGTGGAGACTATAGAAGACACCGCATAATGGGTGCCGCCACGAGTGAAGTGGGTCTGCGGGCGGGCTCCCAGGACTCGTTCCAGGGTCTGGTCCGTTTCAAGGAGCGACCATTACCAACAGGGTCGTTGTCCCGCGGAGCTCGGACACGGGACTATGGATTTGGCGAAGTCGTTCATGCGTTGACAGGGCACACGGGGACGCGTAGAAGCTGACGGCAGTAGTGTTGACTGCCGCAAACGAAATTGTTCATTGAACTCAAATAGGGACATGACGGAGGGGATAGGAGATCAGCGTACACATGTGCAGCAGCTGGGCAGCCTCGTGCACATGGCTGACTTGTACCTCGCATAGGCTGGGACGCCACCATGGCTGGAAGGCAGCTCGCAGTAGCGAAACTCAAAAGCGCGGCTTGGGGAACGGCAGTGGTTGTTCAGTCCTGCTTTTGGTGGTGCCTAGATGCGTCCCGCTCGAAGGAGTTTCGCGATGTTCACCGGCCACGTGAAGGCTAGCCGAGAAGGGGATTAGTCACCGAAAATCTCGCAAGGGCTGCATCTTCCGTGCCTTCCGCTTCCCAGCTAGCTCCGACGCCCACTGACAGCCCTGGAGTCAACACTCAACCTCACAGACTCCTCGGAGCTCCCACTTGCTGCCGCTGATCGGCTGCATCATCGCGCAGTATCTCTTTAACCGTTGGTTTCAGCTATTCTACGCTGACTGCCGATTCTCTCGATGAGGAAGTGCTCTGCACCTCTAAAGACGGGAACTTGTAACCGCTAGCCGGGCGGTTCCTGAACCTGCGTGGAGCCCCACTGACAGGTAGGTTTGCGAGAGCGAGAGTCCGCCGACACCGCCAGCCATTCCACGATAATAGATGCTGTGGCTTTCGAAGTTCAACTGTATAAGTCAAGACTGTCGCCAGACTAATCAGGTGCCTCGGCTTCCTCACATTGAGTCTGCAGGGTTTCACGAGTATCTAGTGCGCGGACTGACTCGTCGTCGCGGGCATCGGCACTTGCTGTAGGCACTGGAGGACCTGGATCTAGCTCAGCACTTGCATCATCGCCAGCGCTACTATCGTCCCCTAGATGCAGAGTCCGTCGCACGAACAACCATAGTTCGCGACTGAAACCCGGATTTGGGACCTGATATACAACAACGGCTAGTCGTCCGAACGCCTGTCAATTGCCTGTCCGACGACTACTGCTTCAATATTTCAACAAACAGGCATCGGGATTGAGTGCCAACGCGGGTAACGCTGGATGGCAGGCCGATGAGTCTCGCAGGCACCATCCTAGCGATCAAAATTCCACATGTGGGCCCCGAATCCACAGAACAATGGCGACATGAGCGTCGCATGCATCAGGGTAGCACAGCACTTCCAAATTCCTGGAAACAACTCCGCAACCGTTTATCTCCCGATGCCACGCCCGTCCGGTCCTCTCCAAGTCAGTTGGTCTCAGCTCAACGTTCTTCCCGTTTGGTAAGTTCGTCTCAAACTGCCGAGGAACGCTCAACCAGGCCTCCCAACGAAGGTTTAGGCGTCCGGCGGAGCAGACTCCTGGGGAAAAACTCCGGCTTCCAAAGTGGCGACCGTGTATTGGAGTTCGGAGAGTAAAACGGTGTTCCCCTGCGAGTGCGACGAAGAACTCTTCATACCCTTGGCCTGTTGAACCCACCGTCGAGCCGCCCCATCGCCGCATTCGTGCAACCCTTGCAGTCGGGAGCAACGATCCTATGGTTGACTGGGTTGAGTGAAAATCTTGAACATTTCTGGACGACGCTCGCAAGGTTCAGTCATGGTAACAAACTTTGGTTAGAATGTGAGTCGGTACCTGCTGGTAACGGACGAACTTGCGGGTTTGTCTCTAGTTCGCGCTTATGTCCGACGTCGTGTTATCCGTTTGCACGATGGCGGACATCATGCCTTCGAACCAGGGAACTCAATATATGTTTGCTAGAGGCTCAATAACCGAAGCAGGCAGGTGATGTAATTCAACAAACGTCGTCAAGATACTGGAATAATGGCGACATTCAACATGCGGACATGTTGGAGGCCGAGCCGCCGTCTAGTCCGAATGCGATTTCTGATGCAGCTGCCACGGCTGCTAAATCAGGAGGCGAATATCACAACCCGAACAAGACACGGCAACCCATCATCAAATGAACTGCCGATCTTGTAAGCTGTACCAGAACAAGGTGTCCATACACACGCGAACAAATGGTCTACACAAGAAGCATAACATGAGCATCATCACCCTCCAATCCAAGTCCACCCACTCCGAAGGGGATCGGGCTGCACTGTTGCATTGCTGTTACGGTCGAACTGGAGTGAGATCTCCCCTTCTTTCCATGCAGGGTATTGACATGTGCCCAGCAAGAACACAACTTTACTTTTGCAGCACATCCTCACTTCCTTATCTCCAGATAGCACAACACACAAGCATCCGCTTCTTGGAGTAGTAAGTCCATGCGATAACCTCCAAGGTTGCTTCTTCGCATCCTCCGCCCTCCTTTTCCCAAGATAAGCAATTTGCTTTTTCTTATGCATGCATGCGAATGCACATCACGCATATGTACATAGCTGCGCCAATGCGGCACAGTCTCGGGCGCATCAAGGGCACGACGCGCCCGCCCACTCACCAACACGAAGACCCCCGGAAAATCCTAGCGGCTACGTCCCGCAGCCGCCCCAATCACGTCGCCAGACAATCCTCCGCATTGCACCGCCGAAGGAATGCCGTGTGGGTGACAGCGGCTGTGGCGTAGCTTGTTTCGATTCGTAGATGCATGTGGATGGTAGATTAGCCAACCGCTGGAGGACGGCTGTGCCACTGGTAGGTTGTTTCGTAAGTGGTGGAGACTTTGCGGCGTGGTTGAAAGGGATTGTATATGAAGAGGTAAGTGCGAGGAGAGGCGCACGCTGTGTGCGATTTACCATATCACAGGCATCTTCGGACCGAGTATCACTCAACACTTCAAACGAACGCACTGCGAGACCGGCTTACAGCGACACGTCAACTTGCGACTACACGCGCACCAACACAGCACAACATGAAGACCGCCCTCTCAATCGCAGGCCTCATCGCCTTTACATCCACCTCCCCACTACCCTCGCCTGAACACTCCGAAGCCCTCCCACTCATCACCCTCTCTCTAATCGGCTCACCCTCGCACTACACACTCGGCTCATCCCAAAACCCACATATATCCTCATCAACATCCAACAACGCATGGTCGATACACATCCCCATCGATGTCTCCCTCGATCTCAGCACACGGCCAGAGCACGTCCAAGCCATCGAGATACTTGGGGTAGAAAAGGGCACGGATCTGCAGGGAGGGGCTGTAGAGAGGGATGATGTGGAGGTGGTGTGTAAAGCGAGGTTGGGGTGGGGAAGTGAAGGGGTGGTGGTGAGGATGGGTGGGGAGAGGGTTTTGCTTGATGGGGGGAAGGTGGGGAGGGTTACTGGGGTGGAGTGTTGGAAGGAGAGGGTTTAGATTTGTTTGTACATGGACGATGGGGTTTGTACCAGCGGGAGGAGGTGGTCAGCTTGCATCTTTTCCATTGCATTGGCGTTCGATGCTCACATCCGCCTTGGAGCGTATACATTGATTTCGCTTCGTCTTCTACAGGCAGTCTTACAGCCTGATAATATAATCCTTTTCAAGTGTCCTGTTGACCTACCTCGCACGTACGTATATCATCATAATCTCCCTTCCCTACGCCCTATAACCCTGCATCAGCTTCTCCACAATACCAACCCCCATCTGCTCCTCCTCATTCAGCGCTCCATCACCCTTCTCCTCCTTCCCAGAAACAAACCCATCCTTCCGCATAATCCCCTCCATCATCCTAATCCCCCTCAACTCCTGCAGTGGCGGAATATTCTCCACGCCCTCCGGATCCACATCATCAAAGTCCACACCATTACTAGGCTTAACCGCACCCTCAATCTCATACAACTTCTCCGGTGTGGCAACAAAATCACACTGTACCTCTCCCTTCCTCATCGGAGATACTGTTACCTTCTCCACGCCTAGCTCCGCCTCATCAACGACCTGACAGTCATGCGCAACCGCCACAACAGGTGTCTGGGCATGTAAAACACCCAGATCCGATAACATCGCCCATTGTATCTCGAATAGATTATGCCCTTCCCATATTGTCACGCCCTGCGCGTTGAACACCAGACCGCCTGTTACACACAGATCTACCCGGAGCCCTTCATCGCGCATCTGCGCCAGCGACACCGAGCGTCCTATCCCAGGCTTCTCCATGCCGTCCAGACAAGCAGCCATTTCGTATTTCGTCTCTGCTATCCGCCCGGGGTGTAGGAGGACAAATCCCCTGCGCAGGCGGTATGTGGCGACGAGCACCTTCTTCCCGTCTTTCAGCGCCCGGCAGCGCAGGTGCTCGAGGCTGTTGTCGGGGGTGATGAGGATAGTGGCGGCGGATTTGTAGCAGGGGAGGGATGTGAGGCGCGAGATTGCGGAGGAGGAGTTGCGGAAGTCGGGGGTGAAGGACATGTAGTCGTGGTTGAAGCGCGCGTCGGGGTGGGCGTGTTGGAGGAGGGTGCGGTAGACGGATGTCCAGATGAGTTTGCGGTTGGCGTCGTCATCGGCGCCGGGGGGATGGGGGGCGGTCATTGGGAGAGGGAAGCGAGTGACGGGTGGCTGGAAGCCTGGGTGGGTGTGGTGCTGTGGGAGCGGAAGGCGGCTTGGTGGACTGTACTGTATGCGCCGTGCCACGCCGCGGTCAATGGCGGGGATGATGCCTTTGTTCAAGCCCTGGAGCTGACTAACCGGGCCGCCTCATTGCCCGTCGTCTGCCATCATTCACCCTCCAGCTTCTGAGATGATAGACAAC